TATTACTAATAAAAACTAATATTATTGAACGTAAACTTATAAATTGTTTTTAATATTATGATTTCAAAAATGCATAATGACTACCCTTAATATATTTTTATTCCAAATATTGATTGAATTTTATTGAAAGCTAATTAAAATAATTTTCATAGAACCTTTTGTGCAGTCAGCCTCCTTTATAATCATTTAAATGTTCTCCCATCAACTTGAATGTATCAAATTAAATCAAGCAAGTGCATTGTAATGACAACATTGTAATACATAATAAAATGGCCTATTAAACTCATACGTACATAGATTTTGTAATACAACCTTCCGCGGGTAGTCAGCCTCTTTTTAAATCATTCTAATGTTCTCACATCTTGAATGTATACAATTAAATATAGCAAGTGCTGTCTAATGACATTATTGTAATACATAAAAAATGGCCTATTAAATTCATATGTACATAGATTTTGCAATACAACCTTCCGCTATTTGTTCAGTGGACAGCCTCGAGTTGTGTACTCAAAACCTAATGTTTAGGTCACTGTCAGCACGTCATTTTAAACTAGTGTGAGCAGTTGGGAAATTTGTACGCCTCATTACAAAAAGATGAATAGTCAAGTGCGTTAATGCGTTACCAGAATTACTGGCCTTTGTTTTGGAGTTGTATCGAAGAAACGTATTGCTACGACCCGTAGACGACTAAAATATTTACATGTAGAACAAATGAACGTAGAAAATGTATTTCAGATATATGATATTTATTAAAGTATATATACGAGATTAAAACAAAACTAATTTTGTGATTAAGAAACTTATCAGTTTTGATAGGAAAACGATCAGAGACACCTTTCTTCAATAGAGTCTAGTTAAGTTTATTTATCGAGTATGTATAACATCTTATTTCCACTGTACTAAACCAAATTGTAAAAATACTAAAATACAACTATTTAGACAATAGTATTTAGTTTAGTGGTTAAACGTTATTATTTCCCGGCTTTTCCTAAAATATTACACAATTTTCTAGAACACGGCCAAAACCAAGTACGTAAGTAAATTGTACTAGAGATTCGCGCATGAGCAGTAGTCGCGTTGCGCAAATTCACTGGAAATGCGCGTAATTACGGGATATTGCTAACATTTTTTTTCAAGGACTTGAAAATTTCTCATTACTCACATATGAACGTGCGTTCGCCGATTGCTGTATTCGTAACAGCTTCCTTATCTAACACTTTTAAATTCCGAACATTAATTAGGCTACTTTAACGGTAATAATTACTTAAATTTATTATTAAAAACTAGCTGATACGGCAATATATATATATCCTATCTATTTTTCATACCCCTAAATGTTAGTTAATTACGGCATATATTATATATATATAGGTATATATATTTTATGATACGGCATTTTGTATGCTGTATCATAAAAATAAGAAAATAAAAAAACCACCCTTAACATTTAGGGGTATGAAAAATAGATAGGAGCCGATTCTCAGACTTACTGAATATGCATACAAAAACTCTTAAGAATCGGTCGAGCCGTTTCGGAGGAGTATGGGAACAAACATTGTGACCCGAGAATTATATATATTAGATATAGATTAGCGTGAGAGACTTATGACCCTTTCAACTTTTAAGTACCTAAAGAGATCTTTTTTCTTATTATAAAGCGTATTTAACTAAGTATTTTGTCTAAATTTTAATTGAATCTATTCACAAGTGAAATCACGGCCCTAGAATTAACAACCATTGACATCAAAGCGTAAATTGAAATGCAAGAAGCGAATGTGAAGTGTTACCGACATAATTTAGAAATAACATAAAGTAAATCGCATATAATGCAACTGCATCTTATCTTGTGCATAAATCGCGTTTAAATTTATTGCTGTTTTGTTGCAAACGAGTGATGCATCTTAATTGTAATTAAGCCAATCTATTTCTAAGATATATTGGCTTAATATCTAGATAAGAATTATCTAGATCTTATTTAATAATTTAGATTTTTAATCTTGTAACAGTTATACAACTTTAATGCGATCATTCGCGTTTAAGTTTATTTATTTATAAGTAATCTTACAGCTACAAATATGAATACACAAAAGATGAAAAATTAAATTTTTACATTTAATTTTAACATTAAACAAACTACATCTTTAAATATTAAAGAAAATGGTAAATACTGCAAAATAAAGTCTTCCCCCTTCTTAAAAGATTTCTCACACCTCTTTGTTAATGTAGAGAATGTCAACATATTTAGGTATATAGTATTGTAGTTAGCTAAAACCCGTAACATTGGCGAATACGCAGATAATTCGTGCTCGTATTAATAATATTCGTAGTTGTATTAAAATAGATATTTCGATACGAAACGAGTTTTGCAGTGTTATCATTTTATGATCTCAACGTTTGGCCACTTCTCTTTTCGTTCCACAACTGAGCGGCAGTTTTACCGCGCACCACCACACACTAGCTACTCACTAAAGTATTTCGACTTAGGATCCTTCAAGAAAAAAGCGTACCAATTCTTGAAAAACGAAAACCCAACAACTTACAAGCTTTCTGGCAGCGATTGTTCTACATTATTGATCACATAACATCTGCTGAGCCTCCTCCTAGTTTGCCTCCTGTTCAAATAGTATTCTCCTCCTCTATTCGTCATTAGAGGCGCTGGTATAATCCATATCTCATTTTATGTTTTACGAACATACAATCTGCACTTACCGATTTATACAAGTTCATTATAAGTATATAAAATATACTACTGATTTGGCATGCAACTTGACTTGTCGTTGACTAAATTCATGCGTTTTAATTTAGCAAATATAAAAAAAATAGTACTTTAATATATTTTAAATTCAGTGCAGTTTTTATGATATTATGATAATTATTCAGTTTATAAGATTAGGTAAAGTAAGAAACTGTAACAAGGTTTAAATTACGATCAGTTTTAATACACCTCGTTAGGAAATTCTTAAATTACTTTGTCCAATAACTTAGGGATTCTAGAACCAATTTTTGGACTTCTATTATCATATCCTAATACATGATGACTCCCTGGTTAATTTGTCACATTAAGAACTGTAAAATCAGTGCACCAGAACCTCAACCCAGATGTCCTCGGTTTGATTGCTCGGTAAATAAAAATTACTTGTTTATTTTAATAAAACATTTGCAGAAATAAGTCAACAACGTGTACCTTGTACGTATACATGTATTTTTAAAACAGGCAGCAAAAGCATAAGCGAACTTGTTTTTTAAATTAAAACAAAAGTTTACGCCTGCACAAAAATACTTGACATTGACACAGCAAGGTGATTGCATGGTTTTATTAAGTTTGGAAGAAAATAAATACGCACATCATTTTAAATACCTTTCTTATACTCACATCGGGCCGTCTAGTTCGTGGTAAGTCTGTTCTACCTTCGACCTAAAGAGCGGCACCTACCTACCTTCACAAGTTCCTCAACAGACACCAAAGGATTCAAAAACACAGCAATAGGGTTTAATGAACATTTTAATATTTAATTATCAATATAACTAAATAAATTCGGGATCCAGACTAAACTATCATGGAAAATTTGAAATGCCATAACACACAGGGAAGTTGTATTGTAATATTAATTTATGATGTTACCTTGGAGCGTATAAATGAGTAAAATAATACTTTTTGTAAACGAAGTTGTCATTTAAATATACATTAATCAAAAGAAAATAATGATATTGCATATTACTATGATTAAATGTTAATAATTATATATCTTCTTGAGTGGATATACCTCATACCTCATAGTGTGGCCGTTAATAATAATTCAAAGAGTTTATTTAAAAATATTATTATGTTCGATTTAATAATTTAAAAAGATAAAAGCGTGAACTTACGAATTAATAGCCGAATAACGTTATATAATACATATTTTTTAAATTAAATTACAAAGAACTTAAAAAAATATTGTTCTTGACTATAAATTCATAAAAGTACATAATAATGTTTAAATAATTACAGCGCGTTTTATTGTTTCAGTTTATTTAGTAAAAATAACTCGACAGCACGTAATAGTGACATTATTTTAAGAGCGCTTAAACAAAAAAGCATCATAATATTTTTTGAGAGACTTTTATCAAATAAGTAGGGTTTATTGTAATTATAAAAAGAACTGTATAAGGTCCTTAATTATCAATAAAGTTTTATAATCGGATAATTCATATTTAAATAAAATTGGGTCGAAACAAACTCAACTCAGAATGTCTCACATAAATTTGCACAATGTCCATGCAATTTTTCGTTAGTAGTCTGTGGTCTTTTTTCTAAAATTTAACAGTTTCATCACATTAGGTGAAGATCAGAGAGCCGTGAAGGCTGTGATCGAAATAGTTCATACCTCTCTTACAAGTAAGAAAAAATATTTCGTCATAATTGGTCCATTCAAAATCTAAACGGTACAATCTCTTAATAAGAGTTAATTAAATCGACGATAATCAATGAAGATTATTACGTTAATTAATAAGGCTTACCTTTTAATACTACCCCGGATTTGTTGCGGAAATGTGTATTTTTCCAAAGGTGATAAAATGCATTTTGCAATGGCGCAATAGGCACTTACGTCCTTGTATTACTGGGGGGGTTCGGTACAACGATTGGTCGTGTCATGGCGCGCGATTCAATTGTAAGTTGTGGCGCGGCGCGTGAGCACTTTCCACAGGCTTTCGCTTTTCTTGAGATGTACTTTTAAAATTCGACAACCATGCTTCGGTAGCATTCGAATTTTAAATTTAGATTTTTTTATTTAGATCCTGAACTCGTAAATCGATTATTTTAGTTACGTACGTTTATTTGAATTATTTTATAGTATACTTATATCTTTTGAATATTTTTTAATTAATATTACTTTGTTACAGGTGACAATTTGCGAAGCAAACTGTTAACGAGATTTCTGTCTGTGAATTAATTCGAAAGTGTTGTGTAGTGAGTGTCAGTGAATTGGACAGTTCTGGAGTGAATAAACTTTTTCAAAATGACTGGTTTTGTAAAAATCGCTATTGATGACATCTACTCTGATAATAATTGGACAACAATTATTAATAAATACTGGCTGCTGGCAGAGAGAGTATCAGGTATTTATATTTATTTTGTACAATATTACTTGCCACTAAAGACCGCATAATAAGAGCTATAATTAAAACGCGAAAAAAATACTATAACGACGTTATTTGCGATATCTTAAACTGTTAAAAATTAAACTCGTAAAAGATAAATTTTGATACGAAAGTACCTATTATATAATAATATCTTATAAAAATTTTGTCGTACAATTAAGACTATCTAAAGCTTATTTCAACGACTTAATTTCGATACAATAAAATAAATAAATTATCATAGTTTCGATTTGTACCATGCAGCCTTGACAATATGCAAGGCCTAGGTTACGGCCCCAAAATTAAAATACAGGTTGTACATTATATAATATACGTTGAATATAAATAGAATCTCTCCTGTAAATTTGCATAAACATATATTCTAAAATATATTTTTTTTTATGTATTATATTTATATATTTAAGTGAAGTTGGGTGGAACCATAAAGTAGACATAGTTCTGTCCACCAGTTGAAGAAATTTATATGATTATCACAAAATTATAATTTTTATACTGCGCGGTACATAAGCATATCAAAACATTAATGCATAGGTAGCCGATGAATTCTAACAAATTCAGTAATTCATCTCACCGCTTCAGCTTGACCTAGTGTTAAATACAAAGATATGTATATAGATACAGGTGAGATTTATACATAGTACATAGAAGATATAAAATAGTTCTAGTTATGGTATCATATATTACCACAGTAGACTTCACGAATTTCATTTTCTCAAATATATATTTGCCATATTTAATAAATTTGACACAAATAAGCAGAGTATATAATCCTAAGCCAGTTTTGACGGATTTTATGAATCAATTACAATACATAAAAGGAATAGGTAAAAAAATGGGATACTTTTGTGGCGTACTTTTTGTTATTCTTAAGTGTCTTCAAAACGTTAAAATACTCTAAACGTGATACAATACACCAGTTCAGAACCAAAGTTATGCCTTGACAATGAACACAAAAATACATCTACATAATCTCATTTTTTAAAGTTGTATAAAAAAGCTCATGCATTCAAATTAATTTAATAAAAATATAAAACGATGCATCTTATGCATACATTTAGAGTCAAGACTTGAATCCCTAAGTCAAAAACGTAATGGATTTGACACGGCAAACAAACTTATCACGTATTGATTGTGAATATTTCTCCTAGAACTCAATTCACTGATTGTGAATAGTTACCGAAATATATACCCTTAAAATAAAGAGATGAATTCAGCTCGCTTCATGATAAAGTTTTTAAGCGTAATGTTGATGTTTCAACAAATACATAACATACCTTCCTTAAATGTGGCCGATAAATACACAACGAACCAAGATATACGCTCTAGCGACTCTGTTGAGGTGAGTATATAAATGCTTTAACTTCACAAAAAAATACATAACTAACTTAACTCTAAATACTTTATTCATATAGGTATACAAAAGAAATTCTTTTATTATTAAATAATTAAATTATCGCATTAATGTTGGTAGGGCTATACAAGGAACATTAAAAAAAATCTAACTTTCTTTCAGTACTAGGCGTAATTTGATAGATTGTGTCACTATAAGAAAAATATGCGTACATGAACTAACTTGTTCAGATAAATTGATACTAAATTTACATTTACTACTAGTTCGCAAGCCTAATTACATTTATACAAACATATCTCACTATTTTTAACGTAAATATGATCTGTCACGATACGCAAACAACGATTCTAAATTAATCTTTCGAAACAGTTTTGACTTGTCGCTTGTGGTAACAACTAAGGTCACAAAACAATACTGTGTGCTTCAAAAGGCTAATTTAATACTAAGAATTATGTTTAAAACCTTGAAGTGAGGATGTGGATTATGGAACATCCTCCGAAACTCAGGAAACTGAAATATAAATAGTCTAAAAAGGTATACACAATATTGTACATAACAGCTATTCAAATATATAGAAAAATTGGTTATGGGTATTTTGTAAATGGCTGATAATAATTAAAAAAATATATTATACATACACGAGATCTTTCAATGCATTTGAATAATGATCAGTATATCGATAAATAAAATTATATAATATCTTTATTCAACGCGCATTTACACCCATTCTATCATAGGTCCTTTAAATTATTACAATCACAAGACCGGAACCTTGAATGGTAGGAAACAGCATCGCTTGCCTACATTCTAAGACCAGTCCGATGAGCACTTTCACTAAATGCAAACGAAAGTTTGCCTACTTCAAAGCTTTGACGTGCTAACATAATATATTCATAAAAGCGTTGAAAAAAAATATGTATTGCATTTTAACTCAAGTATTTAGTTAGAAATTCCGTTACTTTACGATGTACATAGTTTAGATTGTACATTACAAGTGTAGATTTCACGTGATGTAAAGTAATAGTATAACTAGCGGTCTTATTAAGTGGCAGCTAGGTGAGGGGTACCGGGTTCGATTCCCGGTTCGACGGCAAGTTTTAATTTAATTTAAAATTTGTTCCCGGCCTTTGGGAGGGTTGTGCGGTACCGGGCGAGTGCCTAAACCGTACATGGAGGACATGGTCGAATTTTTAAGGCAAAAAGCACGAATTATAAAAATCTTATACTTGACGCTGGCTAATGCACAAACCGTGCCAGAGCCATAAAAAAAAGTAATGTTATAAGGTTCGGTTCTTGTTAATGAGCCTTCTGTGCCTAACCAAAAATAATTTCAGCGTTGAATCTCAACGCCGATAACATGAACTTGTGTGTCAAATCCAACACGTTTATGACATATGGAAATCATTCTTATCAACAAGTCTCGACTGATTATCCGGAAGTGAATATCTTAACACATTAAAACTATTGTCTTGTTTTAATTATAAACATGCTTAATGAATCGTAAATATAAAAGCTATCAATGTTTTTACTAGAGCTTTCCCGAAATGCTTAAACTTAAATTATAATTAATAATCGGGATCGCATTTGTGAGCTTTCATTTCGCGGCTGTATCATTATCGAATTCCATCCATTTGCCCTGTTCTATATGAAACATATAAACGCATTATTGCGACGGACTAAAATATTTTGTAAAAAAATAATAAAGAAATTTTGGCATTATTAACACAACTTTTTAATTTTAAATTACGCGAAAGAAATTACGCGGCGTACGAAGTTGTAATTTGTCTTAACAAGTGTTTTACGCTCATAAAAAATTAAGAAATGATATTCTTGTTGTTAAAACTTTCTTTTTTTAACAGCAGATGTATCTTCCGGTTTTATGATTTCAATATCCATATTCGTTTACGAGATTACAAAATTCATAACCTAAACCCGTTTAACGTGATTTTATAGGGACAAGGAGCTTACTATGACGTTTTATCACATATTATGTGAGAAGTATTTTTTTATTACTGATCCTATTAAATGTAATTGTTTTAATCTAGTTTTAGTAATTTCTGATTTGATTTATCAGCTTTTGCAGATAAACGCACATTTTTAACGTTTTAACAAATAACATCTCTCCCTTGGTATATATGAAATTAGATGGCTTCTGTTAGCTGACGCTAGATAGATAGTTTTGAATGAACCCATTTATATCGACTACTATTCGATAAATCAATTATAATAAAAATACCAAATTATACAAGCCATTGTCTAAAAAAGTTGCTTTATGTGTAAAATTAATATTTATTTATTTATATTTACCCAATTTTAAAATAGTCTTGAGTCAACACAATTCCATAAAAATTTAACTCTCACGCAATAGAAAATTGAATTTTATTAAGATAAGAAAACAATTATCAATTCGGTAATTTTAAGTACAGTGTTTTCTAAACATACGCATACACGAGCTACGAGAGAGCACCAGGAGTAATTTCCTTTGAACTGGTCTGAACAATTCTTATATATGTTTAAAATAGTACCTACCTTTCCTTACCTTTTTGTAATACCTTTCAAGCTGGTTTTAGCCTGAGATGCTTGATATACCAGCGATTTTTGCTTTACAATTTTTTGCTGATCTGCTGATAACCCTAAGGGCTCTCAGTTAAGACTCCTAATCACTATAAAGATATTCTTTAATCATATTTTTACAGATCCTCGTGTTCAAGGATGGTTCCTCTTCGACTCGCCCATACCGACCCTTGTGATGGTCCTAATGTATCTCGGGTTCGTGCTTGTGGTTGGACCAATGTGGATGGCCAACCGGAAGCCGTTCAAAATAAAAGGCATCCTAGTGACTTACAACGCTGCTCAAGTGCTTCTATCCAGTTATATGTTTTATGAGGTAAGGGGACTTAATTCATATAAGTAATGTCATGTATGGATTTCTACAGTTTGTACTGGAATTTGAAAGCCAAGGAAAAATATATCGGAAATTACTTCACTGATTAATTCAAATTTCGAATATCCACTATATTAAAATTTGTAACATATTATTTCTTTGTGTGTAAATTCTAAAAACAATTAGATCAGACTTAAGCTGTTGCATTGCAGCGAGCTTTTTTAGTTACCACAATAGACTTAAATTAGCGGTAATGTTTTATTCAGTCTTTCCTTGATTGACTGATCTAGCTGATCCTAAAGAAGACATCAAAAAATGTTTTAACACATGACTGAATTTTTACCTCTTTATATAGATATTGTAGGCCATCAATAACAAGCAAGACTAATATATTTAGAAAATATCTACTCTACATCAACTCAAAAATCAATAAAATTAACAAAAGCATCTCTAGCCCAATCACAGAAACGCGACACGTTCCGTCTTTCCGATCGACCAATCACAGGCGATCGCTTTATCTTCCTTAGCCCCTAGTACTTTAGTTCAATCAGAGATACTATAGTATTTGTGAAAATTGTGTTTTCGTAAAGCTTTCAAATTGCACAAGTATAATATATACGTCAAATCATCGTTGGAAAATAATTGTGGTGACGTTCGAGATTTCGTCAGAGATCATACAGTCAAGAGCGTCATTATATAATTATTATACGCATGCATCCGTGACATAAGTGTCCGTCCTAAATTTGGCCATGACAAATTCTCAAGACCGAAGTGGCCATGGTGGTTTTTTGATACTGGGATATACGCAGGATATACCATAGTGTACGAGTGCAAGGCTTTACGTCGAAGGCTTTTCGCTTATTTCCATTATGATATTCCTTCGTAAGGTTCTATTTTTGTGATCCTTTGACTAATTTGGGCGCCAAACCCTGAAGACTAGATCTTGGTCTTTATTACCACCTCACCCTTCTTCCTTCTCTGCTTACGAACTTAAAACATTTATTCCTTTCCCGGGAGTCCAATCTTTCATATAACATCGAGCGGTTAACCAGACTAGGGTAGTAAAAAGAGGAATTTGGCCACAATTTAAACTATGAAAGTCTAATTTTATGACTAATAATTATTAAAAAGATTGTTTATTTAATATTTAATTTCTTTTGGCATTAATTGAGCCTAGTCTAATCATGTTAACGGTATAATGTTAGTATAATTTTTTCATTAAGGGGCAGTAATTATTCAGTATTAGTCAGAAAGGCGAATAAACGTGCAATTAATATAAAACTCGCCGGAGTTAGATCGTTACTTTAAGTGTAAATGGAGCATAAGGCACAATTATAAAATATATCAGCCCGGCGATTCTGTAACTCACTTTTCGAACTCACAGAACGGTTTTCGCATCGGCGGTCGCTCTCAAATCAGTCGTGAAGCATTCATTTTATGATTTGGAATTCTAATAAACAATAAACTACAAGCTCCCACCTTTTCAGAATGCCAAATCATAAAATGACTGCTTCACGACTGATTTGAGAGCGACCGCCGATGCGAAAACCGCTGTGTGAGTTCAAAAAGTGAGTTACAGAATCGCAGGGCAGCCTTCTGTGGTGAGATGAGATTCTTCTGAACTGTCTTTTACATATGTCAAAATTACTTAAAAGTTTCGTTTCTGAATCCCAAAGCCAGCCTTATCTGTGAAGCCACGGAGACGTAATAATAATTAATAACAATAAATTAGTGTTCATACAAGTTATGAATTTCCGGTTGCGGTCTACGAATTTTGGAAAGTTTGTTTTATAATTTCATTTGGTATATTAAATGCTCGTCACTTTGGGTTTCGAAAATAGTACGTTTTTCAACTTGTATTTTGATCTCATAATTATATTGATCAAAAGTTTTGTCGTTATTTAAAATAAAATAGCCTTATATTATAATGAAAACTTTATCCTTGAAATCCCATCAAATAACTCCTCCTTTCTTGGAGAGTCCTTTAAGGCTGTGCAGCAGTTAGGCTATGGAATTCACTTCCCGTCCCAATTCGCTTAGCACCTTCTCTATCTTCGTTTAAATTTCTCCTGTACAAACATTACCTGTATACATCGTATCCCTAACTTTCGTACTAACTACTAACTGACGTGAGACTGATCTTAAATTCATCAAGTCGAAAATGTAATCCGTTGTCAAACTTCAAAGTCAAAAACATACTATATGTCATATTTTAACGCCGATAAAGAAGTTTGACTTCAAAAATGTAATCCGTTGTCAAACTTCAAAGTCAAAAACATACTATATGTCATATTTTAACGCCGATAAAGAAATTTGACTTCAAAAAGCAACATGGCGCGTAACGGAAAAATGTGACGCGTAACGCAAAAATGTTACACTAAATTTTTTTCCAACCCCGATAAAGAAGTTTCACTTCAATAAATAAAAATTAATTAAACCTTAATTTTAAACCATGTTTAACTAATACTATAACGTAATAAATATCGATTTATTGTACTTTCTATACTAAATTGATATTCTCTTTCAGCATTTGATGTCAGGATGGTGGGCCGACTACAGCCTTACGTGTCAGCCTGTTGACTACAGCAATAGCGAAACAGCCAAAAGGGTGAGTACTAATATATCTAAAATCTGTGTTTTTGGAACTTTGTAAATTGCATTATTAATTGTTAGACACGGATTTGTTTTGCTTGTTTAGATATCACGAAGCTTAATATGTAAGAAAGCTCAGAATTTCTCATAAGCACTGAAATTAATAAACATATTCTACCAGTACTTTTAAATGTAATAATATATTATTATCTTAATTTAAATGAAACACCTGTGTATCATATCATACATCCGTCATTTGTACGAAAGAAAACGCCAACGCCAATGACCAACTGAGAAAGGGATGCGAATAAGATATAATACAGTGCAGATCTATATACAAAGAAGTATATAAAAATGTAATTTTATAATTAAAGTCTACTTTCGTTCTTAACACGCTTAAAACTTTGAGAAAGAACCACTAACTCAATAAGGAACACTGAGGGAACTCCTTAAAACTTATGAACTTGTATCAAAATATAATTTATATTAATTTAACAATACAGATAACACTATTTGAAAAAGAATAATGAAATCATGAATCAAGAAAATTAAATGCTTCTAAATTTAAATTTTCAGTCAGTTCTCAAGTCATACTAACTTAAGAACTGACAGCCACGGAATCCGTCTCACAGGTGATTCAAGTGAAGTTAACAAGAACGTGAATGAAGTTATACCGTGTCAAGTAGAAAGTGAGATGAACCGGTTCATACTGACCGCGATTATTTTATAGATATACAACTTCTAGACTTGTTAATGTAATAAATTTTAAATATATTTCGTTTGGTGTTGATTTGACACCTTTTTTCAAATAGCAGAGGCTGGAGACTAAATTACTTGTCGACATTACACAAACCCTATGCAAATTTGTATGGGAATGACATAAGCTCACGCTTTGTTACGTGACCATACACAAGCGCTTGGCGTTAGTGTGTCAGGGGGAATTTTTGTCTCAGGCCCCAGCCCTGCGATTCTGTAACTCACTTTTCGAACTCACACAGCGGTTTTCGCATCGGCGGTCGCTCTCAAATCAGTCGTGAAGCATTCATTTTATGATTTGGCATTCTGATAAACAATAAACTACAAGCTCCCACCTTTTCAGGCAGGTATAAAAATACGTATTTGATTTAACTGTTTATTTATTAACTTGCATATAACAAAGGCAATAGTTAATAGGCCAACGCAAGGCAGTTCTTCGTCATCACCTTAGATTTAAGACGTGCTAGTCAAGATATGAATTAGCGAAATCTACCAGGCCCACTAATTTTCAACGTAAATACACTCATATTTAGTATATGAAACTTTACTACTTAAAACAAGATTGGTAAATTAATAAAAACTACACATTACACTCGCTCATTCATTCACATGCACCCACACACTCACTCATTCACTCACATGCACCCACACACACACTCATATTGAAAAACAAAAAAATGTTATGTAATTAACTATGTATTAAGTTCGTTTTGGTATTTTTTACTTAAAAAGTTTCCACACACATTAAAATGTGTTATTAACACATTTTTATTTATTTTATTATAAAAACCTGTCTAAACATTTTATGTCTATAGCAAAGTCCGCCATCGGTCAAGTTCATTAATGACTACACACTTTCCAACGATCTGTTTATTTTGTTACTGTCTTATTTAAAGAGAAATTAACTTAACCTTTATGATTGCTTAATTATTGCAAAGCTCAATTATTACTCACTTAAAGGTATACAGTGGAAAGGTGATTTTTTTTCTATATGGCAATAAATAAACCTATATTTATTTCACAAAAATACATACACTATCCTTATCGTTAGTACAAAGCCAATAATGTCGAAAAAAAATATATAAAATATTATTATTCCCTTTGGAGTATAGACTCTTGGGCCGTGGCCTTCAAGTACCGGTGACCCCAGAGCTGGTGCTTTCCTCGCTCAACGAATAAGTATCGCAATACAGCGAGGAAATGCTACCAGCGTCAAAGGTACACTACCACCTTTACTGCTATAAAAAACTGTGCTACGGTAGGAATGCCTCTAGGTGAACCTGATTAATACTTTCTACTATCTACTTAAAGTCTTACTGGGTGGTGAGCAAACCAAGTGTTCTTCAAGAACTCGGTTTTTGGTACCTATGGTATACTCGTAAAGGTGCGCTTACACGGGCAACTAAAATTGCTCAATTCCAGTCAATACTCGTCAATTATGACGTCACGACTACATCAAGCAATTTACGGCAACGGCAACAAACATCAATACTGCGCAATACAATATTGAGCGATATGGCGCAACTTCATCAACTAGGCAATACTGTAATACACGAGCATGAGAAAGAAAAGGAATAGGCGTATCTGGGTGCGATCGTTTTTGGCAAATAGGACAAAATTTTCATTATGTAAAGATGATATATTATTCAAAAACTTTACTAGAATGTCACGAACAGACTTACTACTTTTGAATAAAGTAATTAGAAATAATTATTATTTAGACCTCTCGCTCTCCCCGCGGAAGCAAGACGGCAAGCCGCAAAACAAACAAGTGCGAATGAGACATATACAAAAATTGCTAGGAATTTCCAAGTCCATTGGATATTCGTCAATTCGTATCTGGGACATTGAGCGATATGAAATATATGGAGCAATTAGAAGCAATATTGCCGAAATAATTTATTGCAATTTATTGAAATTGCTCCATTAATTGCTCCAGATAGGTCCATTCATGTCGCCGAGCAATTATTGCCCTCGTGTAAGCAAGCGCACCTTAAGTGCGACGGCGAAGGCCAAGTTTGTTTGAGATACCAAAGATATATATAATATAATATATTTAACCGAGGAAAGCATTAGCTCTGGGGTCAACAGTACTGTCTACCAGGCGTAAATATATTAAATTATACTAATATTGTAGAATATTAGTTTTGTATGGCACATTGCGAAATCTTTGAGGTTTAGCGAGAAAAGACTATCGTGACCGATTTTTTTTTCAGTATTTTCACATAAATATTTCAATCGTATAAAAATAAAATCCACTTAATTTATATTATTAATATGAATTATGTGTATATATTATATATTCTACGTTTAACACGTCGTAACAATTATAAATTTCTGCAAAATTATATGGTTTTGAACTTACAAGGCAATTAAACGAATTAATTACGGATTAATTGCAAATTTATACGAATTAAAAAACAACGCTTAAGATTCGCTGATGTCTATAAGAAAGTTATGTTAGGAGTAATGTATACAAATAAATACATTTTAATGACTTTAGACATAATGTAAAAAAAAAATAGGAAGTATAAATTTTTATTTGTTTTGTGTTTTCTGACAGAATTTGACTAAAACTTAATTCGCTTAGATCTACGATCGGCTGACGACACATACGCGACCAATCGCCGTGAAGTAAGTGAATTTGACAATTGAAAAACAGAATTCGGAGGTCAATAATCACCTCATTATTTCTGTATAAAAGTTATTTTGCTAAAGGAGAATCACAACTCCACTTATAACACTGCATAATACTCCTAATGATGAAAAAACTAAGTTTTTAGTCAAAATACGGTTTATTTAAGAGAATAATCACAAAAACAATAAATGTATTGATTGATTACACTTTACACACAAAACAATGAACCTAAAACATTTTAATACCGAGGCAAATCAAGTAATTTGACTTACAATTCCGTGAATTGAAAAAGTTCGCAAATAAATTTCACCGACCCCAACCTTTGCATCTCACAATGAACTTGTAGCGTAATAGTGAAAGTCACTCGGTTAAGAGTAATGTTTCGTCATCGCAATACTGAGAGTGAAAATGGGGACCTTGGCGGTTTACGATAGAGTTTATTACACTTAATTGCATTATTTTGTACTCAGTACTTCTGTTGTACAAGCATGACTAAAATCCTAGACAATAATAACTGTATCAAACGCTTAAATAAATAACTAGGAGGTCCAGGACTTGAAAATAATGTTTTTGACTTGTTAAGCATTATTATAACTACATCATAATATAAGCCTTAATTCAGACAGAATTTCATATAATTTTAATCTTAAACTAGTGTCTCTAGTGAGTCGACAACCCATCTGTTTGCCCAACTTTGGCAAAGGCCTCCAATTTCTTTCCACCCTGCTCTGTTCTGATATTTCCTTGTCCATATTTTCCCAGTTACGTTTATTATCATAACTAACCAAAACTAAATAAAACAGCTTTATTGAGAAAACTACATCTAAATTGGGTCGGTATCGCTATCTCTATTGAAAGTCACAGAATTCTTAGGCGCTTGTTTTGTTTCTCAGCATTATTCACGACAAAAAATAACTACAAATAGAATTTAACGTTGAATAACACCACGACTTCTTTTGTTTCTTGTTGAACTTGTCCTCCTTCGTGTCTTTCCGTAAAAACTTGTTTACGCTGTGATGAAAAGAGACAAGAACTTTTGTTAAAAAGATTAGACGGATTTATATTTATTATATTGTTAATAACTGTACTATATTTGCCGTAGATGCTCCATCTCTGCTGGGTTTACTACTTCTCCAAGATCTCAGAGTTCGCGGACACCGTCTTCTTCGTCTTGAGAAAGAAGAAGAGTCAAATCACATGGTTACATATCTACCACCACTCTCTTACGCCATTCGAAGCTTGGATGCTTGTTAAGTTCATTGCTGGTGAGTTACAAGACTTCGTTTGCACAATTTTTAGTTATTTATCTTCTTTAACACTCTCTCGGTAAAGGAAAATGTTGTGAGGTGTATGACAGATACAGGCTGATCCCCTACTTGCCTTAAGAAAAAAAATATCACGAAACAAATACACAAATCTAGACCAAATAGCGCCACTGGATTTTTACGTGTTTAAGGCTATTGATATTGATATTTTTGGTAATATTTTTTTCAACATATATTAATTTTAATACAAAAACCAAATTTAGTAGATTATACCGGATAATTTTGGTGTATCTAAGTTAAGTGCGAGTGAGTTTGTAACATTGTGATTCGGAAAGAATAACTTGATCAGATGTTATTTCAATGTTGGTATACATCAAAATATAAGATTTCTACTTGCCTAATTAATAATAGAGAGAAACACTTTCCTACTTCTTTTCATTCAGTCAAAGAGTCAGTTCTTTAGTTAAAACGGTGCAATAAGATTATTTTTAAAAGTTCTTAAAAAAAACAAAAATATTTCCAGGTGGTCATGGAACATTCTCAAACATCGTCAACAACTTGGTACATGTAATAATGTACGCATACTATATGTTAGCAGCCATGGGCCCACAGTACGAGAAATATTTGTGGTGGAAGAAATATCTCACTACCATGCAGTTGGTAAGTAAAATCTGAATTACTTAAAAAACTGAAAACTCAATAACATTATACATAAGTGTTCGACTTGAAGTTAAACGAGAGACTCTAAACCCGTCTAAATCGTGCGTTCAGCATCCAATGGATTTTTCTGTGTGAGAAAACCAGCATGTCATATCCAAAAATCGAGGACGTGTACCAAGTACAGATATTCGTCATAATTCAAGGAATAATCCGTCCTAATAAAAGGAATGCTCTTTTAAAATTGAGACGAATTCATGTGCAACTTCTAATAAACATAGCATTCGGGGTTGACAGTATTGCCCTTTGTAATAAAACATTTTTTTTTATTCATTTCATAGTAAATTTATTTGATTAAAGTATTTACTTTATTAAATACTCTTTTGTTATTACTTATGCCAACTCGCGGTAAAAGGTACACCTCCGATCACCTACTTCCCTATTAGATTAACCAATGATCATGAATCAGATACAATTATTTTAATAGTACCTAATCATTTCGATTTTTGTAGTGGAAGTGCTAATCATGAATGTAACTGTTATACTCTGTTTTACTATGCCTATCAGCCGCTAAAAATTTATCAAAGCCGTAAAAACGTATTTATGGTAAAGCTAGAATGTTGTTATTAGGAAAGCACATTACATCCGTTGGCAAAATCCAACGCTCGAATAAGGGTCGTTGGCACCACACCTCGAATTCCGAGAGACGGGATCTGCGCTTGCGCAAAGTGCTAGGATTTACGAACGGTCGAATTACTTGTAATAACACATTTCCACTGTATGTATTAAGTATCGACTGAGTGTATAACACGTACGTTTGAAAAATACGATTTTTTATTATTATCTATTACACGGAGACTTCTCTTCTAATTTTTTTCCACACACGTCGCATAGAAGCAACTAATGAAGTTTGACAATAGACAAAACCATAAAATAATATGATTATACTAAAAGTACTGAAAAAAAAAATAACGAAATTAAATAAATATATATTTACTAGGCTATTTTGTTAATTTAAATACTTAAATCGTTAAAAATTAAACTAATGACGTACCGCCTCAGTGTAATTTACATGTTTGTACATTATAAGTACATTTTACGGCCATATAATATTCGGGTATATCTCGGCAATACAGGCGATAAGAACTTGGAGCAACGGATCGTGGTTGGTAACACAGAAGGCAAAAGATCACGTCAACCAGATGGACCGATCAAGTAAAAGACTCATCGTCCTCAAAACTGTGCTCTGTAATAAGAGGTGCGCTGGATAGAAACCGGTGGAAACAGATCCGCTCCTGATGTTTCCTTCATGAGCTACCGACTGAAGAGAGTAAAAATAGAGGAGAAAGCACAGGGCAGTGTACCTTTGTAGCTTTTGAAACTAATTTAAATCTTTACTAAATGGCTTAAGTAACCGTTAACTCTTAGTCAGCAACTCTAAGTTATAGTACATCTCATTGAAAACATTATCAAATCTAGGTCTTTAACATTGCGTGACTGGAAACATAAAAAAAAGGTGAATTTTGCGCGGACGCATTTGTTACTTAATACGAAACCTTGCGGTTATGAATTAATGTAACGCGTGTTGTTAATTGCTATGGAAATGCAATAAATAAAAATAATTAAGAAGGATATTTCAGTAAACATAAATGATAAATTATTTCAGCAAAAATTAAGTTTTATTTTAAATTCATTTTGTAATAGCTTAAATGTATAAAAGTAATTCAGCATCTGTTAGAATAGCAGATCTTCCCGTCTATTATACGCTATTGGTGTAAATATAGTCATTTGATTAATTAATTATCAGGCTAATACAACAAATTACATATGAATAGATATTTTTTGGCTAGACACACTCCTTCCTTTGTACCTTTAGTTATTGCCGTATGAGCAAGTGTAAATTGCGCGCAAAGAAAATTTAAGTGCGCCCAGGTTTGAAACAAATCTCAATAATATGGTTAATATATATTATATAATTCCAAATTCAAAACTAGTGTTAAAGAGAATGTTTATTAATATTTCAAGTAATTTGAACAACACCATGTCACATATAAAGAGATAATATTATCGAGATGATGCCTCGTTTAAAAGTAGAATTCAAAATTAATATTTATTTATTTACACTTTATTGCATTACAAATTTTTTAATAACAAATAACAGTTAACAGCTAACAAGCGTTCTCTTTCAGGTGCAAAAAGTGCAAGTGTAAAATAATAATAATAACAGATTGCCGTCTTACACAGTATCAACACAAAAAAACTAAACAATGTATAAGCTAAATAATATAATATTAAGAGTAAGGTATTGTTTCTAGGTACTAAAATACGTAAAAATAATAGATTTACAATTACAAAAAAATAACGTCACAATTAAACAGACAGAAAGGATATGCTATAGAATAATAATAATTTTATTCATCAGACAAATACAGTCCATTGATTGATTAGTAAGTTAGTAACAATCTAATATATAAAATTCTCGTGTCACAGTTTTCGTTGCCATACTCCTCCAAAACGGCTCGACCGATTCTCATGAAATTTTGTGTGCATATTGAGTATGTCTAAGAATCGGACAACATCTATTTTTCATCCCCCTAAATGTTAAGGGTAGTCCACCCCTAAATATTTTTAGATATTTTTTTCTGTTTTTTTTTATGATACAGCATTAAAAAATACATACAAACCCCTAACTTTCACCCCTCTACGATCAACCCCTATTTTTTTATTATAAATGATATATATGGCAAAACGACGTTTGCCCGGTCAGCTAGTAGTTTCTAAAGATCTATGTTAGTAGAATAAGTAAAAATAAGAAAAAAGGTGCTTATCGTATCTCCATAATTAATATCTCGTAATAACTAACACAACTTTGTATTATTTCGTAAATCTCAGTGTCGTGTTAATGTCTAATTCTGAACAGTAATGTCAATCGGATTTTAGTTCACACACCTTTTACCTAATAGGCAAAAGAAATAATGAGAATGTTTTCACCTGAACTAAATGCTCGAAATGTTTGTCTTATTGTAAGAATAAAATTCGGAAATTTAGACATCCAATCTTACTTATAAAAGGGGATAAAATATTACTTTATCATAGGTAATTTGATGCTCCTATCATAATTAGATAATGAAAAGCAATTTTTATTAGTTTTTCGTGAGATTTTTTCAGTTATTTGTCATAATATGATTTAACAAAATAACATCCTAATTCATGAAAAGTGCAGCGGTCTTTCATACAATTCCTGTAAAGCCAAATTTTTAAGAACGGAAAATGTCTAATGTCTCATTCTTTCTATTTTTTCTGGCCACGTTTTATTGAACAGAATGCACTCCCTTTCATCGTAAATACAACTTGTCAGAAAGGGAGTGGTTATAACGGTATAGGCAAATTGAGTTAATTTCTAAAAATAAGTTGAGATACAGAGTCGAGACTTAGCGCTGTTTACAGTTTGCGTAAGTCCCGACTACTCTTGCCCTAAGAGAACTGAACTCACGACTTCAAGCTAAGAGGCGAACGCCCACAGTACTCTTGGCTAGCATTTAATGAAACTAAATACTAGTATAAAGTAACCAAACAGGCAACGATTTCGTCATAAGGCTCACCGGAACGCAGTATCCTTTCTCTATTAACTGACAAGTTACTCGGCGAAGGCTCCTTATTTTGCGAAATATGTTTAATAAAACGAACAATACAACGATACTATTTTATGTGTGATATGTTTTTGTGGTGTACTGTAAATATAAAAGAAATTTGTTTTATTGTTGATTTTTCTTTCTTTCTCGATCCACATCCACGCTGACTCTGCCAAAGTGACTGTAATTCATAAGTCAGTCGATAGTACGATCGTCTTTTGTTTCTGGTTTTGCATTGCTTCATTTGTCTCTGTCTTTAATTACGATTTTACTACTAAGAGGCGTTATAATGTATTCTAATTTCAAATATTTTTTAAGGTATATAAAATATTATACAAAATATATTTATAGTCACATATGAAATATTAGCGTGTATATAATCATTGTATCTTATCGAAAGTGTAAGGAGAGAAAGTGCAAAACGACCATCAGTTATGGTTTGTTAGCTGATGCCTGCGGCTTCGTTTGCCTAGTATATGTTAATTTTCTTTTTATATCGTATATGTTTATGTCTTCAAGATAGGTACATAAAATAATATTTAATAAGTGCAGCCAGCATTGACACGATATGATATGGGAATAGATGATATTGCAGGAGCATATATTAAAACTATTTTTTATTTCAGAGCCAGTTCTTCTTGGTGTTATTCCATTCAATAAGCGCCTTGATCTGCGATTGTGGATATCCAAAGTAAGCATTTAATTCTATATTACTAGCTCGTCAAAATCAAAATTTAAAAAATAAAATTAAGTACCATTTATTCTTTAATCATGATTCTTTAAGAGGCGTTAAAATGTATTCTAATTTCAAATATTTCTTAATGTATCTGAAATATTATACAAATTATATTCAGAACTCCATATGAGTTCTTTAGTTTGCTTTAATTGTTTTATCATCAAACAAACAAATGGTACAGAAGGTACACAGTACAGTTTAATAATACATGGTGAGGAATCCCGGTTCCTTTACAAGAAGCATGTATGTGTCTCTTTCAACAATTCTGGGGGGACAATGTATCATAAATTATAAAACGAAGGCGCGAATGATTCTGGTCAACAGGTCCAATCAAACGCAAAGATTCGTCGTTCTACTGTTTAAATCATTCTTCTTTAAGTATTATGGCAAGTCATGAATTGTTAGATCAAAGACATGCCATGCTCACAATTTTTTCGTTCGTTAAAAGCGTTCAATGCGTATTCGAGAATATAGCATTTAGTTCACTCGACGCAAAATCGGATGGGGTTTCTAATTGTCTGTATAAGCGTTGAATCAGATATTGACAGTAAATTCCTGACTTAGAATAAACTTGTAAGTTTATAAGTGACGGTCGGAACGAATCGTACTTTCAAATATGAGTAAGTGTGACAAGTGACGACACACACTGTGTTCCTTTTACCATCGGAACTTTGATTTCTATTTGATTCTTGACAGTGCTAATTGATTATGACTTTCGTTTTGTATACAATAAAGTTTAATAACAGTTTCGTTCAAATTTGTTAATATAACTTAATAAACTTTATTTTTTCTTCCTATGAACGAGTGAGGAAAAAATTCCGATAGTTGTACGACTATACAATGTGTATTCTACAATTCATTATCATCAGTAATTTTTAAAGATTAATTCCGGAAACCATATTTTTTTTATAATATAACGGCTCCCAACGTAATTTGAAGTTAAAATGCAAAAATATTAATGTTACGAAATATAATGTTGGCCTAGGGTCGTAGGTTTGATCCCCGGTTGTGCACCAATGGACTATCTAACTATGTGCGCATCTAACATTGTGAACGAAAACATCGTGAGGAAACCGGCTTACCTTAGATCCAAAAGGTCGACAGCGTGTGTCAGGCATATGAGGCTGATCACCTACTTGCATATTGACAAATGACCACAGATACAGAAATCTGGGGCCCAGACCTAAAAAGATTGTGGGGCCACTGACTTATTTTTATTTTTATTATACCAATAATGTTTCACATAGATACAATTTGTCAATGACAGTTTTAATTTCAATTGACAGTTGACAGATAATCAATAATTCAATGTTGTCTTTCAGGATCATCGCGTCAGGGCTTATACTACATTCATCAATATTCATTGTCCTCTTCATGAACTTCTACATGCATGCCTACAAGCCCGAAAAGCCGAAACGCCGAGTCGACTCTTGCAACAACGATATACCCAGTGACCATGCTACAAGCAACGGTCATGTTAAATCAGACGTTAATGGTCATGAATATAATTTGAACGGTTCAATAAATGGAGTAGCTCTTGATCTAAACGCCAGAACAAATGGAATTAATGGTATTGTAAGACATAAGACTGAAAATGTTATTTCAAAAGGAAGTCTGGAGAGCACGTGCGAAAGTAATGCTTTAGTAAACGGAGAAATCAAAGAAAAATTACTATAAGTAAATTGGATATTGTAAATAAACATCCCAGACAAATGTGTACTGTGATTAAAAATGGATTTTATTGAATCAATAAAACGACGCAGTTATTGTGATTATATCGGTTTTTAATATAATTGTATAGACGCGTTAATTAGGTTTGGTAATATAAATATAGAGAATTTTGTATCGAACAATTTGATCAAACTACCTCACTGCAACAATTAACAAACCGTCCATATGAGATTATTATATTAAAGCCCACTTTATCTATATTCAAAATACTGTCTGTAATTTCTACGAGTCGTTCCTTAACAGTAGTAACAGTTCAAATAATTCTCTTTGCAATACAAGATTTTTGACGGTGCTCAATACAATTATGACTTGGGTATTGAGTCTACGACTCGTCATAATTACGGCTAGTAACCTAGCACAGGTTTCGGACAAATAGAAGCAACTTCTTTAAGTAGCGTTAATATTGCGTTGATTTTAGGTTTTTTATATATCAATATAGATTTGTTGTATGCGATGCGAACAGAGGAGAGTTAAGTTTTAAAGTAATATTGTCATACATTAACCATATATTGTAAACTAAGGTAAGCTGTAAAAATGTATATAAGTTAACATTAAGAGGAATTACCATTAGGAATGTATACTTTTTGTATAATAAAGTATTATTTTTTTAATAAAGTATTATTATTTTAATTTAGGTGTTCCTAACGTTATGCAACTATCAAGAAAGAAAATTAAATTAAATTTTTGATTTATAACATTTATAACTGAGTGTTATTTTTTTTTATATAAAAGGGGGGCAAACGAGCTTGCGGGACGACCAAAAAGGGCAGTCTTCGCAGCCCATAGATACCCATTTTTAGTGGGTGCGTTGCCGGCCTTTAAGGGAGGAGTACACTCGATTTTTAAACATTTGGAGGTCGTATCCCTGAGGGACCCCCACCGGGAGTCGATTCCACAATTCGCTAGTTCGCAAAAGAAAATGCCTTGTGAAACAGACTGTGGAAGACCTCCAACCATCAAGATGATGTTGGTGAAATTTAGAACTCGTACGGCTCGTATGGTGTTGAAAAGAGACAGGAGGGATCAACCCAAATAATTCTTCCGAACACTCACCGTAGTATACTTTATAGAAAACGCAATGAGAGAGAGTCTCTGCGTAGAGAGAGAGTATCAAGCCGATCAGTAAGACATTGGAGATTTACAATTCGACAAGCCCTTCGCTGAATTTGGTCAAAAGGTATTTGGGAGCACCGGCTCAGAGATGTGAGCAGTATTTCATATGAGGTTGTACCTCAGTGAAATACTACTATGCAATTTTTAGCAGAATTGAAGAAAAGCTTAACCAATTCTTAAAAAGCCGGCAACTCATTCGCGAGCCCTCTGGTGTCCGTTGGTGGTGGTATCGCTTAACATCAGCTGAGCCTCCGGCCGTTTGCTCCCTGTTCTATAAAAACAAAATATTCATCCGCGTGTGAACTTTCTTAGGTGTCAAGCTTGGATTTGTTTCGGTAACCTGATATCCTGAAGTGGTTACGGATTAACTCTTCACATTAGCTGTTTTTGTATTGAATTTGCACATCTCCAGAATTCGTAAGTACTAATGAAGACTAGTTATTGCCTCAGGCACTATTAAGTAGTTACTGTATGGTGTACAGAGCGCCCTCTTGCGGTGAAAGTAACAACTAGTTATCTTTCCTACTAGGGTGCCTACTGCCTACAGCAGTTTTACTATAACGTGTCAATAGATGGCGCTGCAAATTACTTTTTAAAAGTAATAGAAACTGTGTACGTCTGCTATTAATATTAAATTAAATACAACTACTACTTTAACATTTGGCTAACTTCAAAGTTTTAACTGTTAATTAAAGTTTGACTGGTTATTAAATACTTTATTCTTCAAATTTAAACTAGTATAATATTTAAATAATTTAAAACATATTATTGCTGTGTTATCAATAGATGACGCTTTAAAATACTTTTTACACGTTACACAAACTGAGTATATAATATTATATAATTATAATTGAACTACAACAATTATTTTAATGTTTGGGTAAATTAAAAGTTTTACTGTTAGTAAAGGATAGGACTGGTTATTAAATATATTAAGAATTTATCAAGTTTATTCGAGTATATTTAAATTATTTACAAAATATGTATTATAAAGCTATTAATGAATGTATATTTCCCACGACTTCGTACAAAATAAACGTCAGAATAATTACAAAGCAAATCCATGTAAAAAATTAACATTGTGTCAATAACTTTTAGTGACCCTCCTAAGCCTTAATGAATAAGTGAAATGTCAATAAACCTGACATTCGGGGTTTTTTCGACCCTTTAATTTGTTATCCCCAAAATCGAAATGAGGGATAAACCATTGATCAGGAAACCCCAGCCGTAACTCTAATTCATGATACAATTTACAAAAAATGCTTGTAGTAAGCAGACTTATGGTTCAGGATAGACTGGTTTGAAAAGGGTAAGGGTTTGCTGTGGGCGAGACAAATGATTCCGTCAACTTTTGTTCGAGTATGAGTGACAGAGACAGCACACTGTCAGTAGAAATGAAACGCGTTCCACTTTACGCAATAATTTTATAACTTATTTCGTTGTACTATAAACGAGACTTATAATATTTATTGCAAGACTGCAACATTTTACTGGTTATAGTTATTTTTTTTTAACATTAATTACTGTACTCGGCGTATTAAAAGGTGACTTTAAAGTATGTGTACACCAAAAGTTCAATCTGTTTAATGTCGTTGTTTAGTATAAATTAATTCATAAAACATGTATTAAACTGAATTTTTTGACTAAAATATTAAAATATCGAAGAAAGAAACACCAAATATATAATTTTATTGACTGAAGATAGCAGAAATATATTTAAATTTAAAAAATAGTCGGCTCTATATAAATAAGACTATAACATAAATCAAAATGAAATCAATGTCTCTTAAGTACGTCAATGCCAATACACAGTGCAAAAAATATAATAAACAAATTTAACCGATCTTTTGTTTAAAACAATTGAACACATTTGAATGTAGTTTTAACTGTTTTATAGATTAATTATTATTTACAGTTATAAATGACGAATAAACTTCATTTTAAACTATTCAGTATCCTCTAATTTAAATTTAACTGCGTTTCCTAGCGGTAAGAACTAAGAGACAAGGCGTTACAACAAGTTTCGTGTAACGAAACGTATCGAAGTCTACGTTTTATACACCGGCGGCCGGGCAAAAACCCTTCGTTCTGGGGGCGCTGGGTAGTGACTAGTGGGTATATTCAGTTTGCCGGATGCGCGCGCCTCGGGTGTACGCGTTTGTCGTATATCATTGTTCATCTCATACAAAATACAACAATATAACCCAAAAATATTCATACAGATCACCAAAACATTTATAAATATAAAGTGTATGTGTTAAATGAAGTGCTTTCTGTTATGAATTGTGAAAAAACTGCAATATACTAGTGGTAATGACAAGAAGCTTTGCACAGCGTCCTAGTATCTTGAATAATGATATAAAACAACATTTTGTACGGCGATAAATCGGTCGTAACTGGGCTGTTTAATCGGTAATGTGCTATCAGACCCGGGGTAAAGATAGGGGTTATTGATATAAAATAAATTTTGAGTGAAATAAGTGAGTGTCCCGTATAATATGCTAATCAGAATTTCTTGAAACCGTCATACAAAAACCTCTGCACTAGATACTGCAGTGCGATTTGTGTTGCAAATTTTGAACTCTTAATATTCAGCTTTTTAATTATATTTTAGCAAGTTAATGTGCAAGATATTTAGAAGAGTTTCAACGATTTCATTAATTGTTATCGCAAATCATTTAAAACATAGGACGTCTTGGTTCCAGGTCCGGTTTTTATTTAAATTGTAAGATTATCCCTCATTATGACTTATTTTTAACCGTCTTCATAAAACACGAAGGAGGTTTACAATTCCACGAGTGGTTTGTTAAAGCTAATTTGTTTAAATTCCTTTGTTAAATATGCACGAGTTCTTAGTATACCTACATAATCTAAATTTAGTTATTACTGAATTTATAAGTAAATAAATGAACATAATTTATTAACGCTTTTTTTCCTTTGTGCACACGAAATGTAAACAAAAGGAACAGCTGAAAATTTACAGCGAAATTGTTCTTCCTAATAATTTCATTAATGGTACATTACATGTTTTTGACAATATACATACAAAGCGAAGTTTTATGAATAGAGATTTTTTAACATACAAAAGTAATATATTTTTATTATTTGAATACGTCAAGTATGTTTTAACAATTAAAGTATAACATTTTAATCTGTTTTATTTCTTGAAATATTAAGGTAATTAATTCAATTGCATTTTATTGATACTTCGTATTTCTAATCGTAAAATTCGTGGTATTACTTTAATTTTATGTATATATATTTCTGTTACCAAAACTGCTGGTTATTTTAGTGCGTTTTTGCATAATTGATTTGTAAGATTTTTTTGTTCTTACTACAAAAAATATTTAGAGGTGAGGAATCAGCTTTTACTTCCAAGTAAAGTTGTCTTAAAACAACCGTAAATTGTAGGCATTTTAACGAAATATGCAAGTAATTATATTTTCTTTTTAATTAACTGTCAACTGTTAACCGAGTTAGTGGTTAGTTCCACGATTTTTTCTATTCTATATTTCTAATTAATTATCAAGTCGAGTGAAAACTTTTTAATAGCTTGGCAACTCGGCAACCGGTCACAAGCAATTCTATTCTTCTGTTCCATTTTACAACCTATTTCTTATATTCTTTTCAAAGAATTCGCGGCTTGGATTTGAAAATGGAATCAAAAACTGCTTTGTGTGTTAAATTTATTTTCTTTTATACGCGCGTAGGTACAAAAAAATTGGTGCGAATTGTAAACCTCATGGGAACTTCTGGTTTCTTAACTCTAAAGAAATATAATCTTTGGAGTGTCATATTATTACCATTACCAAACATTAAATACTTCTCAATTT